TAAAGAACACCCTCTAATAGGATTATAAAACTTCAAAACTAAATCAAATCTACCTAGGTAATGTTTGGATCCGTTTTTTGTAACTTTGAGAAACACTTCGATCCAAGGAAAGTCACGAAATTTAGTTTTCTTGAGGTTTATTTTTCTCTAAAATGGGTTCTTGTGGGTTTAGGCTTGAAATGAACCTAAAACCCATCCTTCAAACTCTTTATATTTTAAAAACAATCAATACAACGAAAAAAAAAAATCCCGCCCCTAGGCTACCTAGGCAGGTTCTGTATTGCCTAAGTGGCCGCCTAGGCTTTGGGCGGCCCGCTTTTTTGAACGCTGGGTTTCATAATCTTCAAAAACCCTTTATCAAATCATCCCCTATAAAAGTAAGCAATGTGGTTTTTGCTAATTTGTCATCTCCTTCCCATTTCTCAAGTTGTCTTCTATTTTGGGCAAAGGGGTTTAAACCCAACTCTGGTTTAGTAGAACTCAAAACATAATCCATCTTGTCTTGAATTAAAATGTATTTCATTTTTCTTTTCCACATCCCATTAAGTTTTTATGTTTTGGATAATTCACTCATCACTAATCTAGCAGCCATGTTACCAAATAAATATAGGAATATCAATGAAATTCAAAGTTTAGATCAACTGACCACTTTCTCGATGGATGATTTACCAACTTTTCGGATGATGATGGTAACACCCTTATGGTCCATGGTGAGCCACCAGATCTCCTTAAGTGGATTAGTAGACTGTCCAAGTCTTTTAGCTACAAAAAAAAAATTGAAGCCCAGTTGTATGTGTTTGGCCGCGTGGAGTAATCAGCTTGTTGCTTTACTAAGAAAAAGAATATGCACAGAGAAAGATAAAACTTTTGATCTCAAGGAGCGCTTTCACGCATCTAGCGAGAGTCATAGTGAATTAGCTCATTTGACTTCGGATCAAAAAAAGGTATCCTACCCAATAAGGTTTTCAAGAGAGAGGGAGGCAACAAAAGATAAAAATAGGTGTAAGAGAGAGAGAGCACAAAACGTGACCCAATGGGAATTATGCGAGAGAGGTACCAAAGAAAATTGATATAAGGACAAAATTGAAGCAATTTATATAAAGGAGAGAGGATAGAAGTGTCAACGTCAAACCAGTAAGGAGCGAACTGGCATCAAGTGAGAAAAAAACCTTTGCCTAGCCTATGTAAGCTGCAAGCGTCAAAAGCGTGACCCCTGTAAACCCAAAGAAGATAGAGCCCCACAAAGAAAACCCGCTCTGATATCAGTGTAGAAAAAAATAATGAAAATAGCGACTTTATTGAATTAGTAGAGAGAGAAAAATAGATATGGAGAGAGGAATATTGTTGTGAAGCGTATGGATAATTGGAGAGAGGGGCAGATGGCTCTTAGATTTGTTGTGTGTTTTAATGGGTTAGTAAGCCCCCTTTTATAACTTTGGAGCTTATCCCCTTGCCACTTATGGTAGTTTTTGCATCCAATGGTCAAGATCTCTCTCTGCCCATATCAACAGGTAAGCGGGAGACTTAGGATGTAGCAAATCGTAGGATGAGTTATTCAGAAGATTTGGATTCCTATATATATACTAATGTAGTCCTTCATCATACGACTCATATAAGATCCACCTGTTTAGATATCATCATATACATCTAGAAAGTTATATGCTTTGGAAGAAGCTTGTACAGTTTAGGAAGGGGTTTTCATTGATAAAAAAAAAGCCCTTCCTTCGCTATTTTCTCTCTCTCTCTCTCTCTCTCTCTCTCTCTCTCACTCCTTCGCTTACCCTAAAGAAAATGTTTTAGTTCAATATGACCTTTAGAGCATTATTGATGGGTGGCTTAAAAAAAGAAAGAGAATGACATTTACCAAAACAGATAGTCAAAGAATTTAAAGGAAATAAGACCATTATAGAAACTAAATAATACTATTATTATATGTATTTAAAATAAAAGAAAAGAGAGGTACCATGAAGTAAATGGAAGTCATGAGGCTTTTATGGACATACTCCAACACTTTTCATTATTTTGAATAAATAACCAAAGAATATAGAAGGAACTGTTGGTATAAATGAGGGTGGAGGTCATATATACATTCGTAGGATTAGGATGTCAAAAGTAAAAGAAACTTTGAAAAGGCTGAAGATATGAAAGGCTTTAGAACCAGATGGTATCCCAATAGAGGTTTGAAAGTGCATGAGGGAGATTGGCATTGACTGGCTAACGAAGCTATTCAACAAGGTGTTGAGAACAAAGAAACTGACAAACAAATGGAGGAAAAGTATTGTGGTACCTATTTACAAGAACAAAGGAGAAATATAGAATTGTGCGAACTATCGAGGGATCAAGCTTATGATTCATACTATGAATCTCTGTGAGAGTGATTGAGCAACGACTAAGGCATGAAATAATGTATCTGAAAACCAATTTGATTTTATGCTAGGAAGGTCAACAACTGAGGCTATTTTCCTACTTAGGCAACTGATTGAGAAGTTTCAAGCGAAGGGAAAAGACCTCAACATAGTCTTTATTGACCTAGAGAAAGCTTATGACAGAGTACCTCGAGATTTGATTTGGAGGGTGTTGGAAAAGAAAGGAGTCTCCAAACACTGCATCGACTTGGTGAGAGATATGTACGATGGAGCGCTAACTAGTGGAGAGACGAGTGAGTTTTCAATGGCAATAGGTCTACATTAAGGGTCAGCATTGAGCCCGTACCTCTTTGTCTTAGTTATGGACGACTTAATTAGGCACCTGCAGGATAAGGTATCGTGGTGCACGTTGTTCGCAGATGACATAGTTTTGATCAATGAGACTCGAAACAGTGTCAACACAAAGTTAGAACTTTGGAGGGATGCTCTAGAATCCAAAGGTTTTACAATTAGTCGGACTAAGACAGAGTATATGGAATGCAATTTCAGTAGTAATATGAGTAGAAACGATGAAGTAGTTAAGATTGACGGCTAGGAAGTACAAAAAAGATTGCACTTTCAATACCTTGGGTCGATAATCTAGGAAAATGGAGAGATTGAGGAAGATGTCGCACATAGAATTAGAGCTAGGTGGGCGAAGTGAAGATGTGCAACTGGAATTTTATGTGATCGTCGCATACCAATGAAGCTAAAGAGTTAGTTCTATATGACAGTCGTGAGACCAGCTTCCCTTTATGGGGCAGAATGATGGCGAATGCAAAACAATATACCCATAAAATGAGCGTAGTGGAGATGAGGATGTTGAGATGGATGAGTGACAAGACAAGAAGAAATAGAATCCAAAATGAATCCATTCAGGAAAGTTTAGGTGTGGCACCAATAGGCGATAAGATGAAAGAGAGTAGACTGAGGTGGGCTGGCCATGTGTGGTGTCGTCCCAGTACAACACCTATTAGGAGGTGTGAGTTAGTTCAAGTAGAAGGATTGAAAAGGTCAAGGGTACGCCCAAAAGGATGTGGTTGGAAGTAATCCGAAAAAATATGTGGACTTATGGCCTCATTGAGGGTATCGCCCTAAATAGAGCAGAATAGCGAATCAAGATTTGTGTAGCCGACCCCAATTAATTGGAAAAAAGCTATGATGGTGATGAACCAAAGAATATAAACCGTAATAATATTATGTTTTTATTTCTAAACTTATAGAACTCATTAAGAATTTCCTTAAATACTTTTATCTTGTTTTCCTACAATCCTTGCTTTTCTTTTCTTCTTCTTTTTTCCTTTTTTTTAATGTTAACTTGGGCCTAGTGAGAATGGAACTTTGGACGTCATGTTACAACACCTACTACCTTGACCTCCTTTGCCCAGAGCTTGTTCTCTATTTTCCTACAATCTCAAGAACTCTTATATATGTTTTATAATTTTTGGTGCTACTTTTTTATCTAGATATGAACAACCCATCTGTGAAATAGGATTCATGTAGTTGACCCTAAAGAGATGGCATAAGGCTCAGATGATGATGATGATGATGGGAACAACGCACCCAAATTGTATTAGTACAAAAGGTTGTCAAATGTATGGTTCCACCCCCATGAGAAGTCCTAGTAAATACTGTTAAGGACAATAAAAGATTATAAAAACTCTTGATGAGGTGGAATCACCATCTCGATACACAATACAAGTTTGGTTTGGGACATGCTATAACTTTGAATTGTTTCCATATTTGGCTGCACCTTGAATACAACTTTGTCATAACCTAAATGAAACATTCCATTACGAGAAAAAGCTATTTGAATTTGAATTTTGTTGAAGGACCTCCCCTCCATCTTATTGCTTTGGCAATTTGTACAGTCCATGTGTAAGAATAATTATTTTAGAACATGCTTATTTACTGCACCTATTGCATGCACGTACACTTATTAACCCCACATGCTTATGGGAAACATGTGCTTGCAAGCATTTGTGATTGTGTTGAAGGTGGATGCACTACATATGTTGATGTATGTATTGCATATCTGCATATGCATGTCCACATACATAATTTGTTCTTAAAGAATCATTCATATAGTACTTTCTAATCGCCAAATTATCCACTGCGTCTTGAATTGTCCTTATTGCATCTATTTTTATATGACCATGTCAACAGAGATGATTATGTTTCCATGAAACGCACGAAAGTGCGGAGTCATTTCCCATGCACTATCTTTCCTAGAGGCAACTATTTTTGCTATTTTGATGTGTTAGAAGGGAAAGCTTCCATTGTTTATTGACAGATTCTCTTTAAGCCATTGCTCTTCTGCATTGCTCAATAACTTTATTTTTGGTTGTTTCTTTTGGTTATGGTTGATTTGGATGTGGAATGGCAACATTCTTGTAGGGTGTCTAAAATACATTAATTGAACGTTGTCATAGTTTCTTAGAATTGATTGGCAACCTTTTAGATTGGTCTTTGGTTTCCAACTTTGTTAACTGCATTGATATTTCTCTTAATCGACCTGTTCTCAATTAACAAAAAATAAAAATAAAAAGCGTGACGTCCTTTCATCAAAAGATTGAAGCTAATCTAATTACACAGGTACTAGCTGTTGTTAAGTTTGCATCTTCTGAGACAAAACCACAGCGATGGATATATGATTAAAGTTCACTGTATGTCACTTTCGCCATGAAACATGTGAGGGCATTCATAAGCATTATAAACTAAAATATGTTTTCCTTATTAAAGCAAATGTGTGTCACATATAGTGTTCTTAAGAAGGAACGATTTGGTGTCTTTTGGTTGTATTCCTGCTATTCTACATCTATGAATGTCCTTCGGTAATTCTACTTCTTTTGGGTGCATGAGTATCATCAATTTTGGGGAGACACGTTGAAGTTAAAAGTGTTGCAAAACATGTGATGGTTGTTGCTTATGACACTTGTGGAGTTCACGACCCAAGTAAGGAGGTACTTCATCTTTGTGAGATGCATTGGGATCTCATTTCAGGTCTTTTTTCTTTTTTTCTGGGTTAGAATGGAGACTTTGGGGACTCATTTTGGATGGTAGATGGTTAGAAAGATGGTGGATGTGTATGGCTCCCTCATGTTTGTGGTAAAGTGTAACATGTGATGGCTGCCAAGTTGATGACATTCTTAATGGACACCGCTTGTTAAATAAGTGTTGGTTAAACATGGTTTCCATCTCTCAGAACCTCCTGAATCATGGGGTTCCTAATTCTTGTTGATATGTATGAAAAGAGTTATTCTATTTCTCTACAGACTGAAATTTCTATCCTTAATGTCCAAAATCTTTGGTCAATCTTTGTAGACATGTGGTCGTCTGAAAGAAAATGAGGCGTTGGCCATCAAGTGGATAGACAAGCAAGGTATAACCTGTGTAGAGATTAAAGGCTGAAGGTGCTCGCATCTCTTTGGGACCTGTGCATCATTGTTAATCTCCTTAATATGTGAAACTATGGTTTGCTTCATTTCTTCATGTTGCTCTCTCCATATGATGGTACCACGATCCAAATGATCCAAATGGGTTGATTACTAGTTCTAGACCAGAAATCAAGGCCAACTGGGGTCAACTGACTAGACAATAGCAGGACTCTGGAAAAAAATAAGTGGTAGATGTTTATGGAAAAAGAGCAATGGTTTTTATAATGTGCACTGATGTGATCTCAAAGCCAATTGGTTTTTGGTTAATGCCGGAGGCCGTAAATATGCTCCCCTACCCGCATTTACTGAGTACTAGCTCATGTATCTGTCCTCCAATCTCCCTCTCGACAACTCCTCTTCGAGTATCCTATGTCATATATCTGTTGTCCTCTCTCGTGTAAGTTTCCCCACTACCCCATTCACTGACTAAAATTTCTTATTTATCTGTCCTCCAAGCTCTCTTGATAACTCCTCTCCTGAATATCCTCTCATTTAGCTGTCCTCCAATCTCTCTCTCTGCAACAATGGGTTGAAAGCAGACAAATGCGGGAATGTGGCTTGCATCCATGGTTATGTATGCTTAGGATCTGGTGACACTGCACGTCTCTGCATTTTATATGTTCCTGTAATCAACATCAAAAAGAGAACAGAGACCATTATAAAGAGCTGCTCTCTCTCTCTCTGTCTCTCTCACTCTCTCTGCAACAGGGGCTTGAGAGCAGACTGATGTGGGAACAGGGCTTGCATCCTTGGTTATGTATGCTTAGGATCTGGTGACATTGCATGTCTCTGCATTTTTTATTTTCTTGAAATTGACATCAAAAAGAGAAAATAGAGACCATTGTGAAGAGCTGCTCTCTCTCTCTCTTCCAACAGTGGCTTGAGAGCAGACTGATATGGGAATATAGCTTGCATCCTTAGTTATGTACGCTTAGGATCTGGTGACGCTGCACATTACCGTATTTTATATTGTCATGAAATTGACAACAAAAAAAGAAAATAGAGACCATTGTGAAGAGCTGCACTTGTATTGCATGGCGTCTCTAGATTCAGTCCTCCAAGTCAACTTTCCTTCACTTTTATCTCATTTTATGCATGCATTTTCAAGTTTCATTCTAGAATTTATTTCTTCAGTTTCTTTTTTGCAGGGCTCTCATTCTACACGACAGAAAATGCCTTATCAGAAGCCTTCTCACAATTTGGCCAAGTAATTGAAGGTGTGCTCATTCTGCTCTAAGAAAATAACAATCGTTCTTTTAATATGGTTAGAAGAAGCAATTCTCTCACATGTTAAATTGGCAGCTAAAATAATAATGGATAGAGTCTCTGACAGATCGAAAGGTTTTGGCTTTGTTACATATGCATCTGAAGATGAAGCCCAGAGAGCTATTACAGAAATGAATGGCAAGGTTGATATTCATTGAAACCCTAATTTACCTCATCATTCCATGGTTAGCTGAACATTGGCCACACACTCCCCCCCCACCCCAAAAAAAAATTCTAATATCAGATCTTGGGATTTGCAGGTATTAAATGGGCGAATCATATTTGTTGATACTGCAAAATCCAAGGCACGCTTTGATGATGGTGGCAGGCCCGTTGCAAGAGGGCCTCCATCGCTTCTAAATGATGATTGAAAGAACATACATACTTGTAATAGACTGCAAAGTTACATTTCCATAAATTCAATCAAAATTTCCTTCCAGGAATAGCTTCTCTGGCACCAAATGTGCCTCAAATCAAATTAAAACAAAAATTTTCTTGCATTACTGGTAATAGTTCCTCTCTAAATTGGAACATAATCACTTTCGGGAGCCTCAAACAATAGCCCAAGAGGCCCAAAGCCCAAGCCTGGACCCTGCAAGATACAATGCAATGACAAACTGGTGCTCTCATCTTCATATTGACCGGATTTTTAAAGGCCGAACCAGTGAAGAATTTTAGGCCGTTTTTACTTTGCGGGATGGTGGTCGTCGGAAGATACTGATGAGATCATCGAGACCCTGCTAGCCAGCAAATATAACAAATTGAGTTCCTTTATGCATTTGCATGCTGATTGACAGGAGAAAAATAATACCAGAAGCCTCCAATACTCAAAAAGGAAAGGATAAAGTATATTATCTGTTTGGCTTCAAACAGTATGCCATCAGCTCCTGATCCATCACATGCTAACAACTGAGAGTCGAGGAGCTCGTAGGATAATCTTTGAAACTGAACAGGTAGTATTGTATATATATATATAAAAGAAAATAAAGTAAAAGAGTGCCATGGTTCGGTAGTTCTACAACTTTGACTCTAAAGAGAGATTTTCTATTTCAAAACGACAGTAAAAACAATGACAGTGATATATAGCGGTCTTGAGCATCAATTTTAAGAATTTAAGAACCTACCCTCGTTGTGATGACCAGGAAACTGAAGAGCAAGATCAGGTACGACCCCACCATTAGAAGTATGAATAAGTCGAATGTTACACTTGCGACCTGTGATTTCCATATGGTGTTATTGTCACATATCCCATAAAGTCATCTAGAACATCGAATAACACGCTTAAAAAATCAAAGAAAATATATCCCAAAAACAAATAATTTGTGGCATGGTTTGTTTCAAGTTTTGCATGGTTGGAGGTGCCAAGCATCTGTCTTCAAACCAAAAGATCAAGTTCATGATGAATCATAATATAATGACAAAAGGCCCACCATTTACAGTTGCTACTAGCGAATTCAGGCCCCAATCCAACATCTAAAAAGCTAATTGCTAACGTTGATTCATTGCCAATCAAAAGAGATAAACAAACAATATTTTTCTCACATGGAAATTTTAGGCAAATATTGCTGCAGAAATCATCTGAAAAGTTCGGTGTCCATCTGTTGATTGCTTTTAGGGAAAAGTGTGCTATGACCCGATGGATTATGCAACATTATAGTACAATGGGTTCACCAACATCCAATGATTTGGGTAGATCATGAACTACCTAAAATTTGATTACCAAATAATTTTTGGGGACAAAGACCTAATCCAAACTTGGTGTACTCCCTTGAGGATCCTATGATGCTATGAGGCTTGTTTCTCAGATGAAAATTAATCAACTTCTGTTGCCATAAGGCATTGGATGTGAAACTTGGAGTAGATGATCTCGTACACATCTATATGTTAGAATTGGACGACTCATATAAGCACAAAATAGTGCACAAAGGAGTAGGAAAGAAAATGGTAAGTGGAACAGGAGAAAAGTATAAGAATCATTTGCGTAGGAAGCGACTATGGAACGAGATTAAAAGCAAGACCATGATCAAAATTCTGGGGTGGAAGCCTAACCTCTGTAATGCAATATCAGAATCTATTATCCCTTATTCAAATCAATGAACATGAAGCTAAAGAACAAGAGATACTTCAAAAGATATTCTATCAAGAGGCAGGGGTGAGATCCCTTGACCATAAATGAGAAGTCAATTGAAGTCATCAAATGGGCCCAGAGAGAGGCTGAGTATCCTTGAAGATTAAATAGTATTGAGAACTTTACTACTACGGAAATAATCTTCGTTGCTTATTCCACATTATTCAAAGAGCTAACAATAACATGAACTCTACTGCATGGGCAGCGTGATGAGAGGGGATCCCCATTTTCTTTTTTTGAAAGGTTTGAGAGTCCCCATTAACTGGGGATATTTTTTTCTCTTGATCCTGTATGCCATTTATCTCTCCATGATTGTATCCTACATGTAACGACTTATCCCTTCAATTTGCCTTCTCTCACATATCAATAAACTGAAATCCATCCATAATTCATGCATCGTTGTCAGTTTATGACATAGGACCACATCAATCAACCGACTTGAATATGTGATCATGAAACTAGTATATGATCATGACACTAGCTATTACAAGTATCTAAATATATTGCATTTGTATCTGAACTTTGCAATAGCATGGCATATTCATCTATTTGAAAAAGACGAAATGGGACATGTAAACTTGTGGGGTTTACAACTAGCAAATGCATTTAAATCACTGGTTATGCATCAAAACTTTACACTAGCATACATTAACTCAGCTTTCCTCTTCAAATGAGATACGAGGCAAGGGCATAAAGGCCATCTTTAGCAACCAATTAGGGTATTTAGAATAAAATCGACAAGACAAATGCTAACAAAACCAGATATAGAGAAAATACCAACCTGATAAATGTGAAGCTTGGCTGTTATCAAGTCATAGAAAGTAAAGACGCCATCTAGCACCTCGTGCTGCACATGAACATCAACTGTATGGTCTGACAATTCCTGCAGAGAAATTGGTTCAGCATGTATATATGGAGGGTCCAAAATTCTCAACATAGCAAGTATAATTTGGGAGCTTACATCAAGAATTTATCCAAAAAACAAACAAAAATAATGCCTTCAAATATCCAGGAGGAATCAAGAAGTAATTAACCAAAGCAAGCATAGTACAAAAACCAGGACCAGAATAAGTGGTAAAGTCTGGTAAAGTCCTATCCTTGTAACCGCATAAACGTTCAGGAGGCAAATGAAAGTATAACTTGAAAACACGTCAACAAACACCCAAGGTACTCCAACTAAAACAAAAGCCGAAACCAGACAATTAGTAGGTATGAAAAGAGAATTACCCCTCTGACAAAACATGCCATGAATAAAAGCTCAATAATAGTACCTTCTTCAAGGCTGCAATGAGGGGATCATTCTTTGAGAGAAAGGGTGCTACACGAGGCGTTCGAGATATCAGGTCCAACCACTGACGAACATAGAAAGGATTGATGGCTAAACTACTATCATCTGCAAAAATTTCAAAACTCTTTCCATGGTAGCCATATATATGCCTCTGCACGAGAAAGATAAAGCACGTGAAAATTTGAGGCCTGAAAATTGACGAGAAATTATGTGAAGTGGATCAACAAATCTAATTAAACAAGCTGCACAAAGAACCATGACAACATCCATTAAGAGAATATCTACTATATTTTGGTGAGAAGGTAACCCCTTTATTCTTGCGAGAAGTATCATTTTCTCTTTCTCTTTCTCTTTCTCTTTCATCCTTTTGAAATTTAAGTTATCCCTACTTTATCCTTAGCTGTTTTATTTTAAGGGTGTGGCTTCTATAAGGTTGCAACCTTAAACAATCGAATTAAGGCACACCTCCAAATTTTAGCATAACATGTAATTTTGGTGTAAAACATTCTTAGGATTATCTGAAAATCTATTTTTATATCTAATTATAAAATTTTAAACTTGAAGAATGTTTAAAATCAAGTAGATCTATGAACATATGAAAATCTTGAAAGTGGGCGGTCTACATAATGTGTTGCAAGATGCATTATTTTTGGGACTCAAAATATTCTTTTTTTATATTTACACATCTCGACGTCAAGATGATCAATTAGAGGGTTTTTCAACAGTAAAACAACCTTCTCCAATGGATTTTTGAGGTGCATCTTTAAATCTACATTTTAAGGTTGCAACCATATATAAACTTTTTCCTTCTTTTAAAGAACTTCTTTCTCCCATTAATTTGCATATGCTAGCAAGTTACTGTAGAATACATGCAGAGAAACTCCTCTTTGCTTGCATTTTTTGTGTGGAGAGAGAAAATCCTTATTGACTGAAGGATTCAGTTTTGTCCATTTGTCTATCTATCGCTCTTCTCTGTCTTCATCTTTAATCTACTACTTTATTTTAGAGATGGTATATATCTGAGAGCATCCAAATCCCTCCAGAATCCGTAACTTACTAACCTTTTGTTAATTGCTAATCTTTTTTTGATAGAGATATATAAAGGAAAGAAATTATTTACCAAAATATAACTTACATCAAATCCCTCACCTGTTAAAAGAAAACTAAAAATAACTTTATTTCTAAATAACATACATTATTAAACTCCATCTTACAAACACTAGTTACACAAATTACATAATCCAGAATTCTTTTACATAAAGAATTTAAGATGTTAAACCACATCAAAAAGGATTTATTATTAAAAATATTATATTTAATCAACAACAATAACAATAATAACAACAACAACAATAACAATAATAACAACAACAACAATAACAATAATAACAACAACAACAACAAGAATAGGCGAGACGGTTCCGTGGTTATTCTTTTCACAAGTGTCTTCTATTTTATTTTATTTATATTTATATTACTTCCATAGTCTTATTTTAGTACAACATAATGTAATTTCCATTTTTAATCTTCCTATTTTGATATTTCTATTCTAACCTAGAGAGAGTCTGACAATACTAAATTCGGCTTTTAATGAGAAAAATGATGGCAATGTTTTTCACTTATTATTGGATGAGTTCATCTTCAATTACATACTTAATTTGAAATATTTTGACACCATCCCCTTGTAGTATCATTATTGAAAAGGAAAAGTATAGTATCCACATCAAGTGGATGCTCGAGAGGTACATAGGCACTGTTTCAACGGCCCAATATGGGCTGATATGAGGGCGACAAATTAATTTGGTTTTTTATTTTTTTTATTTTTTACTTGTAAATTCAATTCCAATGAAAATTGGGGGATACAGGCATATTTATAGGGCACAGTTAACAAAAATAGAAGAAAATAACTAAGATAAAAAAGTGACCAAAATACCCCTGAAACATTCAAGGGCATTTCGGTCATTTTTTACTTTGAAATAATTTCTACTGTTTTTTCTGAATGCACACTATCTTTTCTATGCATACTATCTTTTCTATGCATACTATTGCATGCAAATATTTACTACATTCAATATAAAGTTCCTACACTATGCCTATGTTTACCTTAAATGTACTCTCTCTGATATAGACTCTAGTTTCATGCAATCTGTCCCACATAGAAACTTCCAATAGATTGGGAAATAATTCTAATCTATTTCCAATTTCTTCCCCCCCTCTCAACATTAATGGCATGCATACCTCTCTCCATCCTCTATCCTCTCTCTCATCTTTTTGTATCCTCGGTAACATGTCTCTGTCCTCATGGTTTAATAAATCTCACTCACAATTCTCTTCAGCTGCTGATTTCCCTTCCCCTCTCTCCATTGATAACATGCACACCTCCTCTATCCTTCTCTTCCACTAAATGGGGATTCTAGTTTAACAGGAAGGTGAGGAACAAGATCATTTTTGTTTCCAATTTCCCTCTCCCTCTCTCTTTTCATTAATGGCATGCGTACCTCTTCCCTATTTTATCTCTACCTTTCTTATTGTTTCATATGCCTGGAAAAACACGTCGCTTTTTCCATGAATCGCACTTTTATATTTAGTAAATAAAAAAATGCCGCTCTTGCATGGTTTAAAGGGGAAGATGCCATCTATCCCTTCCTACAGTTCTTTTCAATCTTGATGCTTTCTCACTCTCTCGGCATCACTTATCTTTATTTAGCCTCTCTTTCATGGCCAAAGCTCAAGCTTGTCTCCTTTAGAAGCATCCAAAAAGAATAAATTTCAAAATTTTCCACTTTTCGTCCGTCATGTATGGTTTAGAAAATCTTTGAATCTCTCTCTTTAGAGATTTTGAGAAATGGATCACTTATGTGCATTGTTCGAAAATTCGGCCGCTTGACTGCCTAGGCGAAAAAAAATTCAAAACGCCTAGATGCAGTTTGGGTGGGTGCATTTGGCGTTTTTGCTTTTAGGCGCTCGCCTAGGCAATCTGGGCGGCACCTAGGAGCTATTGTCTAGGTTCTCACCTAGGCGGCGCCCTGTGACAACTTGCGGCCGGCGGAAAAAACCCTCGGGTGAGGGTAAAAACCCTGTGAGGGTTTAGGTAGTATTCTAAACCCCCAATTGAAAATCCATGCCCTTTAGGGTGAGAAAAACCCCTCAAAAACTACTATTTTGTGATTTATCGAAAGATCTTTTTTATTTTTTCGATTTCTTCCCAAAAAGAAGGCACTACTTCTTGGGTGGATTTGAACCTTCTAGTAGTTGATAGATAACTTTTGGTGACCCAATAGACGAGGATTACACCGACATCGATTTGATTTTAATATTTTTAAAATATTATCATATTTGAAAGAAGGTTTTGATTTTATTTTGCTACAACATATTATGCTATGAATCATGTGTTTTTCTTTTTACTTTTTTTTTTTTTTTCTTTTTACAATATATTTACATGTTTATAATTAAAAGATTGATTTTTTTGGTGATTAATTGAATTTTTCTCACTTGGATGATGTTTGGGGTTGTTGGGGGGGGGGGGGGGGGGGGGGGTGGGTTTGATTTTGGTAAGGCCACCCTGTCTATGGGCACCCGCCTAAGCACCCAAACTGCCCAAGCGCTTGAATCCGTTTTTTTGAACATTGCTTATTTGATATGCCATAGATTTTTGCTGAAATCTGTTGGATAGTCATTAAGGAATCACTCAAGTTAGGGCTTAGCTAAAGAAAAGGAGGTGGTTGATGATCAAAATAACGATCTCATAGCTTTTGAGGATAATGTTGATTTTTTATTTTCATGGAGTCGATTTGGAGAATAAGGAGTTTTTGTTGGCACACCAAGAGTAATGAAATCATTCATGACCTAGGAAGCCAGCCCAATTGGTATGAGTTTGCAAACCGGTGTTTTTATGAGTTTTTTTTTTTCCATAGGATTTCATGTTTCAATTTAAGGGTATAGCTGGATCCTCTCTCTCTCTCATGGCACAGTGAGAACAAGGTACTTTTTTAACTCTATTGCCTTTAACAAATCCACTCTAATGAGGCTCGTAAAGGCAGAGGTGAGTGTATCCAAAATAAAATTTTCATTTAGTTTTATGTTTAATATTACTTTTAAGGAAATGTATAATAATAAGACTGTTTGAATAAGGGGGTCACACTTATTAGTAACTATTAGATGTAAAATAAGGTAGTTCGGGATGTTTCAAAGTCCAAAATAAAATTTCTCAAATGTTGTCACACACTTCAAGCTATAGGATTTCACATCCCAATGGCTAAGAATTGATCGTCTAGGAGATGGCCTTAGAATCCACTTTTGGACCGACATTTGCATTGGAAGCTCTCCTCTTTCGGAAGTCTTCCCTTATTTATTTCTGGTCGCAAGAAACTCAGAGGCTCTAGTGGCAGAGTATGTGGTATTTTCAGGTGCATACTTAATATGGACACCCATTTTCAGACGGAATCTAACAGATCATGAATCTTCATCCTTTATCTATCCTATGCAAACATTAGGAAGCTCTTTTAGCACCCTCAATCGACCAAACTCACTTATTTGATCCCCTGCCCCCTTGGGGTGTTTCTCAGTTTCATCTTTCTATTCTTCCCACATTCCCAATCCCACTTTGAAACCTCTTCTCAATATATCATGGTCTTTACCCATTCCTAATAAAATCCAGGCTTTTGTCTGGGTTCTTCTTCAAGGTAAAATCCTTACCCTTGACCAACTTAAAAAGAGAGGATTCTCATTCCCAAATAGATGTATTTTATGCCTCCAAGAGGAGGAATTCATTTCTCACCTTTTTCTTCATTGTGAGGTATCACAAAATCTTTGGTCTTCTCTCCTAAACCTCTTTGGATTACAATGGGTAATCGCGGAAAGTTTAACCCAACTGTTCCAAATTCACTTTGCACCACCTTTTTCAAAGATAGGAAGAAGGCTTTGGCATATTTCCATTGCAGCTTTATTTTAGAGCCTCTAGTTGGAAAGAAACTCCAGGACCTTTAGAGGTACTATCAAAACTTCCCAATCAGTTTTTGATTCCATTACAGCCTTGATATCTTTCTGGGCCAATTCTATTCCTATTTTTGCCACTATACAAATTTTCCATTTCCTAAATAACTGGGAAAGCCTATTACACCTTCATGTCCATACAAACAGACCTAGACCCCA